TGTTGTGGATGTTTTTGGCATCGGCATGTCTCTAGCCTCAACTATAATCCACACTCAGATGTACTCGCAGTGAGAAACAGAAGAAGGATTAATATAACTTACTGATATACGAAGTATTTGTAATTTTGTTTGGGGGTATGCTTTCTTCATCGTTTTATATGGGTAACTTTCTATTATATTAATAGAGGTCGATATTTTTCTCTTTCCTTTCTTTTGCTATTTTACTAAATCAACAACTAAATAAATTAAAACGAACTTACATTTTTTCTCTACATGATATGGAATATTGTTTTGATAACAATAAAATGATTTCAAGTGGAAATTGAATAGAGTGACAAATGAACATATCTTAATAAATTTGTAATAATATGCCACTGTAATATTAGAAGAAGATTTGAGTTTTTATCGATGTTATTATCATTGCTGTAGTTCTTTATTCGGTATAACTTTATTCTTATTGATAGTATTATATAGAAACAGAAGAATATATTTCTCACAAAATGGCCAACATTATTCAATGGACATTCCCATGATATCATCATTTCAACGTCAATTTGTATAGCATCCTCAACGATGACATTACCAAATGTTTTTCTTTGATTTAAAAAGTAAAAATTGCATTGGAGTTGTGTATGAAGAAACAATAATTTTATTAATGATAACATTAATATAAGGTTCTTATTAGGAAAAATAATTAAAGCTGCTGTTTAGAAACAATAAGGTTCAGTGTGCAAATTCTTGACATATGACTGACTATCATCGTTTGACCTGTAAAATTTGATCCAGTCACTTCATAGCAATAGTGTTCATTGTTCGATTTACTTTGAATAGCCTAAAATAAAACATGTTTGAAAACAATCATACTAAAAGATGCAAGCCCTCAAGAGAAATAAACTGTATCTACAACTACAAGATAAAACTAGTTATTAATGCTAGTGGATATCGCACTCGTCAAGTCATATGTCTGTTAATGTTTGACATATAGAAATATTTATCTATACGAGAACCAAAATATTGATAGTTGATTGTTGTCGTCACAGTATGAATACCTATGTGAGATTTTTAAGAGTATTTGCTCATTCTTGATTATTTCTGGTTGTGATAGAGCGTACAATGACTCAGCCTGAATTTTTTCAAGTACATCAAATATGTGGAAAAAGTAGATATGCGGTCGAGGAAAAACCTTTAAGAGAGTTCCAGTATTTTTTTTTCGAATTCTACGAGAGACGTAAGCAAAGATTCATAGGTGGTAAAGGTATATCTCTTTGAAAATCATATAAATCTAGATACGAAGATCAAAACCTAAACTAGCCTGTTTTCCCTAATGCTCAAGCTTCGAAATAGTTGGAATGAAAGCCACAGTCTGATCGAAAACGTTTGTATAGACTGTTAATGTGTTTTATCCAAAATCGACTTTTCTTAGGAAAATAAGCTAGAATCTTGCCTATATTCGTTTTCGCTGGACACAAAATTCCTTCTTCTAGGTGCTATATTTATAGTGAAAATTTCATCCTATGATACACTCTGTCCTCATGGAGTAAATGATGCTTTTTATAACTTTCTACAAGGTTAGATCAATATTTGGATATCAAATACGTTTTCAAAAACACACTCAAATTTCTAGAAAAGTAGATTAGTTTTAAATGAAAGTCATGCGATTATGACATAATGCACAACATTAAGAGTAAAGAGAAAAATAACACATAGTAGATGGATCAACTGATTATTAGAGCTGCAGAAAGTTTAGTATGTTTTTCTGTGATTTTGATGCTGTTGATTGTAACCATTTCCTTTTTTTCTGTCTATGATTTGACGTCTGAGTGAATACTCTATACATAACTTTGCCGAAAACCAATACAATGCATTGAATATCTTTGAGACCTAAAAACGATTTCAAAGCCTACGTGATACTCTATAGTCTTTTTTTCTGAAAATAATCCAGTTACATGCAGGAAAACAAACGTTTCGAGAAAACGTTCATTTACCATTTTATAGAACAAATTACATATTGTTTTGATGTTACATTGTTACCAAGCAGCCCAAAACGGAAGCAGAAGGTAGCGTACATGGTTGGAAAATTCCAAGTAAATATTAATGCAAAAAAGCACAAGGAGAAAGAGAACGGAGTGCAGTCGTAAAACAAACCTTATAACAAGATATCTACGCCGCTTGACTTTCACCGAAAACATCGGAAGTGAAGAATGACGCAAACGAAATACTGAAAGCTTCTTTCGAGAGATCGTTCTCCTATGTCTTGACTTGTAAAATGAAGCATCTATAAAAGAAAAAAAGGATTTTAACCACGTAGTTTAATAAATCTCGTAAGTTAAAAAAATCAGACCGTTTGCATAAATTCCCAAGCAATAAAAACAGCACGCATAGAAACGTATAGTAAAGATTCGAATTTTGGTTTCAGTCACACTCATTAATTGTGTGTAGAATTCTAGTTTCTCATAACTAATAAGCAAATCTTTTAGGAAATTATTTTTCTAAAAAAATTAACGTATTTCTTAACTGTGTGTTATTTTTATTCAAACATTTACTTAAATGAAAGTTTTCTTTGCAATATAAATATTAACTTTAGAATCGTGAGAGTTTTCAAATTTCAAATAATTCATATCAATTATTAAAGACGATGAGTAAACAAATATTTTTATTTTTTGAGTCCCATAGACAGTCAATGTTTAAGAAACATATCGTTAAATTTGTTTACATTAAAAGCAGTATACTTTTGATTCATGATATGATCTTGTATTTTTGTAAGTAAGAATGATCTTTTCTTATTTCATTAAGATGGGATGGGTGTGCGTGTGCAGAGGACCTACATCCACCAAACTACTACCCCCACACCCACACCCCAAATAATCGTTTAATAATACAAACAGCATTTCAGATATTAATGATCGTTAGAAATTTTCATATGGCCAAAGTATTTATATAAAGAGAATCACAAAATTTTAATTTCCTAACTCTCATGTTATTCTTAAAAAGTCAATAAAATGATCTATTTCACTTCTCAACTATCTCTCTATTGTTGCATGATTATGTTCAGCGTGAGCGTCACCTAATACTTACGTTCATCGTCTTTTTCTTCCAAATATGAAAAAGACGTATGATAAGAATAAGATATATATATATATATATACCGACAAGGTAGGAAGTATAGAAACTAGTAAATAATTACGTCACAGTTTTTGTTTTACTTCATTTCTCCAACTAAATACCTATGTAAATAGTGAAAAATATTATTCAAAAAAGTACGCAATGAGGCTTATGATTTCACTTGTTGTTTTCATTGTCGTTAGCTAGATAATTATTTTCCTCATATGAAATTCAGAAGTATTTCTAGATTATAATTATCTACAATATATAAAACTATTCAATTTTCGCATCCATCATATATCGATTTACATGCATCCTTATTGTCTCGATAAAAATAATCATTTTGATGTCACTTCCTTGTTGGTAAAAATGAAGTTATAATGGCGTCATTGGAATATAGCATACGGTGTGTGTGCGATAAAAGGAAGAAACATTTACACAATATTGTTACTCATTCATTTGTCTCTTATGATTATTATCAATATTGGTTTTGAATTTTCAAATGCATCGAAATGACAAAAGATACATAAGAATTCATTTATTTTATCTTCAAAATATGAAGAGTACGTTGAAATTTCGGAACCAGAGCAACTAAAAGAAGTTAAATTTGTCAGTTTCACTTGATCAACAGGCATTTGGCATTGAGAAGACACGATACGTTTATTGATTTTTTTTCAATATATTAGTAGAAAACATTACACAATTTGTGCCACACGTTTTGACTTGTTTCCTCACACTTCTCTCAATTACATATTTCGTTCTTCTCAGTTACAATGATGAAATTATAAAGTCTGCCACTGAGTAGAAAATTAAAACATATAACCCTATCTGCATAAATAATAATGACTTTGAATCAGTTCTAATTGCATCAACGCTTCCGATGTATTGAAAATGGTGTGGGTGTGGGGTGTGGCTTGAGGGTGTGAGTGTGGATAAAAAGTATACCTACACCCATACCCACACCCACACCCACACCCTTTGTATCCTGTCGCCATCATAAAACGCCGGAACCGCATTCGAAAACCGTATCGGAAACAGGCATCCGTATCCGGACTCCGGAAGTAATGGGAACTAAGCAGAAAACGGAGACCAGAACCGATTTGGGAATCCTGCTCCCGGAATTCTCTAGAAATCCACCGGATCCGGTGGTTTCCCGCCGTACGTCTTCGACTTGGGTGGTCAAGTTGGGATGTGTATATTTTTCTCTACTTATCGAGATCTCTCAGTCTTGACAATTTTATAATTTTTCATTGAGTCGTTCCTCGAAAATCTAGGGACAAGGGTAGGAGTCCTTAAAGATACGTTCCTTTTTTTTTGATCGTTGAAAAGAGATTTTTGACAAAGTTTAAAATTACATCTGAGATGTAATGTTAGATATCTCAAAAAGAATTTTCAGTCCAATTGAATAAAGTTTGATGAAGGGTTTTCCTCGAACGTGTATGTCTTTATTCTTATTGTTCTATCTGCAGTAATAATTTCAGCTTGATCAGTTGTATCATCATCTTCCAGAATCCAAAACGGTAAAAAAGAAGGGATAAATCTTTAAAAAAAATTCTCGCAAATACATTTGTGCTTCTTGTTTTTCGCATTTGTCTGGATGTAATGGAATAATTTTGAATCAAAATGATCGTCTTCCATATCATTACCGTTTGTATCATGTATTAAAAATATATTAGACTATCGAAACTTCTTGTGCAATTCATTCTAAATTACATAATACCTAAGGAATAGATTATGTTTTTCACCTGAAAAATAAATAAGATTCGATAATCCTCTTACATATGAATAACATGCAAGAGTTTCAAAAGGCTTCTTTTTCTTTCTAGTCGAACATAGATCAAATACCAAATTTCAGTAATAATATCACAATGAAAAAACGTTTAAATATATTTTTAAAACTAATCTTGAAATGATGCATTAGCAAGTGAAGTTCTTAGTAATACTAAATAAAATAGGTAAGAATGACAATTATTACTATCTTCTTCAATATCTAGTTGAAATCCATTTAAGTTACCACCAACTAAACTTATTGAATCTTTTCCACTTGTTAATAATCCTGATTCAAGTAAAAATAAAATTACATTAGTTTTTCTATTACCATCTAATTGTCTTAAAACAGCTAATGTTTGTGGTCGAATAATATATTCTCGAATTATATTGGTTAATATAAAATTTATGGATAAAATTAATCGAGATATTTCACGTATATAACTATCAAGTCAGTTTTCTTATCTTTGTTGCTCAGCTTAAAAATTGTTCTTGCCGACGTTGTTGTGTATTTAATTCACGATCTTGTTCTCGAGTTGTATTATATATTAATAAATTTTTTTCGCGTTGTTTTTGTGCTATATCTATATCATTAGCTCGATTGGCTTTATTAAGTTTATTTTGTTGAATTGTAATGACAATGGTTGCAAGCGCAATAAGTAATGAAATAATTATAGCTGATATCATATGTAAAATAGTTTTACTTTTGATTTGAATGTTACAACTTTTTCTTTTTGTAATAAAAATGTTTATCGATTCAACGTGATTATCGAGATAAGTTATAGGCATGTTTTTCGATTCAGTTTGTCACTAGAAATTTAATATTGTAATTGCAACTTTCTATAAAAAAACCTCAGTTGTACTGATGCATATCGAATGTATATTTTAATTACATATGATACTTGATTCACTATTTTTTTTTATCTTACTCTTTTGATATTGACAGGTATCATTTAAAGAATTTTGTTCTTTTGACGTTTCGTTTTATATTGAATGAAAATGGAAAAAAGCTCTGATCTTATGTTGCTGACGCATTGTGTTGCACAATCTTATTCATAATATCAATTATGCTTGAAGTCAACATGAGTTCGAAAAAGATAAGCATAATAATTGAAACCTTTTTTTTCTACATTGAAATTTAATCTTAAAAACATAAAAATATGATTGACCTATTGTACTCTTCGGACATTTTTGTTTCAAGCAAAAAAAAATGATTGAAATCGATTTCACAGCTAATTTTTGTTATGTCAAGACTTGAAATTAGTTTTTGGCTTAAAACGGAAGCTTTTCATAAAATAAACTACGCAATTTCATTTACCGGTAAAGATTGGCAGTTGGATTAAATTATTATGCTAGAACACTTGTAATAATTTCATTGTTATCGATAATTTTGAGACTAAAGAAAAAGATCGGGCAAGATGAGAATTTTACGTTCATTTTCAAAGTCGAAAAATATGAGAAATTGTTAGATATTTCATAATATTCTTATAGCTTCCTCTCATCTGATATCACTCGAAAATTGTACATTTCTAAATAAATAACTTTACGATTAAGAGTATGATTGCTAAGTTCAATATCATATGACATTTTGATCAGCCCATAGACAGAGTCTTTTGTAAATGGTCGCTTATTGACTATCTGCAGAAGTGATACGTATCTCGAGAATAGAAATCTAGTTCGTTCACACTCATAGATCAAGAAACTCTTAAGTTGAAGGAATCTTTCGAAGAAATTTACTGTCTGCATCATGGAGTGAGTAGAATCAATACATAGATTATTTGATTACCTTGTGCTGAAAGACAAAAGAGCGATTCTACCACTATCAACATCTTGTGTATGCGATTACTAATGAATGGCATTAGGTAAGAAAAATAAAAGTAAATGAAAACATAACTACAAAAGCAAATAATTACGGAATAGTTCAAGAATCTAAAACAAACAATTAGAAGATTAATTTCATAAAATGCATAATCTTCTTAAACGAAAATGTTTCTCATATACAACTTATTGCCTTAATCTTTATTTTTGTTGCTTTTCTTTTATCGTATGAAGATTCTATTACTTTTATCATTTCTTTTTGATATATATATAAGTAATATTTAGATCTCATCATTTTTTAATCGATTAAAATCTCTCTTTTAAGATGATGAGTCTGAGTAAATGATAGAAAATCTAAAAAGCTATCGTAGAATACACTTGTACTCGACTAAAATCTTGATTTTAGTCTAATTTAATTCAAAAACGTCTCAGAGAAAAACTATGTAGATTAACGGTAAAATGGTCGATTTTAATTAGATTTTTTACGAAAATCTGTTACATGAGATCTCTTTATTCAGAGAACAAAATAGGATAGTATAAAAGGATAATGTTTGTCTTTATTAGATGTTAAGTTCTATTGTCGTTATTGTTAGTATTCTATCCAATAGCCACTATTGAGACTGGTTTATATGTTGAATTGAGAAAGAAATTTTTTGAGCATAAAATTTATTGAAGTTTTAACGAAGAGATACCTGATAGAAATTTCTGGTCGTCGCAAGAGTTCCCAATGTGTCAGTGAAAATTGACTAATTACTATCTAGATATTTACGACTTCAAAGTATACATTAACGTTCGTTTGATAAATGTGGATCTTTTTATTATTATTTACTATTACGCTAGAGAAGGATGGCAAAAATATGAATTTGATTTACTTAGGATATTCCAAAAGCAGGAATGGAGGTACTTTAAATTTTTATAAAAAAAAAACTCAGCGAAACTTTCTCTCTTTATGGAATCATAGTAAAAGAGGGAAGCTCTGTTTTTTCTCTTATTTTTTTCCATTTGTTATAATTTTTGCCCGTCAATATATATTGATATAAAGACGCATGTTTTGTTTCTTCTTTTTACACTTTTAGTTCATTAGAATAATCTCAAGAAAGTTAAAGAGATAAAGCTAAATAGAATCTAACACTATTCGCCTGGTTTTAGATTATTAAGGGAAATTTTTACGTGTACATCAAAGTACGTGGTACAGTTGATATTTAAACTAGAATTATTCATGATGAATCGTCGTCTGATTGTGAGCACAAGCTATGTGTTACTGTATTTATATTTCCTTCTTTGTCGCTATTTTCTTATATCGTGTAGTTTTTAATACGTATTCAGAAAGTCATATTCAAGTTGTCATTCATAAATATATAGTTCTCAAATTCTCTCACAAAGTCTTTTCTTGAGTTATAAAAAAAAATACATAGAACTCTTTCTTGAATCTCTTATATTCTAAATCAACACTGTGAGTTTCCAGTGATATAAGCCTATTTATTTTGCTTTATAAATATTTCTTGAAAATTGTTAACAGACTAGAAGCATGAGTCTCAAGTATAGGGTACATAGAAATCCTAAAACTGTCTTGATTTACTCAGTTTATCTTTAATTGAACTTTTTCAAAAGAGATTAACAAATCGTTGTGAAGAAATACACTAATCACTTTGCATTTTTAAGACGTGTTAATGAAAAACTTATAAAGTAAGAAATATAGATATGGATGACTGAGAGCTTGCAATCATTTAAGAAACGTAACGAAAAAACACTACAAACTGCTTTTTTTCTAACTGAAAACACAGCTTTATCATTCATTGAATCTGAAAGTGGTACTTTGTAGAAGTATGGCAGAATTCTCTATTTATGAGGAAAAAATCAGTTCATCCGAAAGAGTCGTAATAGACATATACGATTTTCTTTTTTGTCAACGACTTTCCGAATACTGTATATAGATTACGCATGCAACGGTAACCATGAGTCCGCGCTTCAATGTCACCGTTTCTTACCGGTAATCGTTTCACAAGTGATTGTTGCATGCCTAACATTGACATCTACGCATTAGAGACGACGAGAGAATGAATAGAATATCATGAACAAGCGGGTCTTATTAAAATTTTATTGCCCTAAGTTTAGGTAAAGTATAATATAAAAGCACACAAAAAGAAAACATCGCCTTGACTATCAGTCTAAATGTAGATAGAATATTTCTTTAAAACTTTTTTTTTAGAAAGAATTACAACATGTATGCCACCATTGTTGGTTTTTTCTAATATAAAAAACAAGCAATCCACTCGTATTTCCATTTTAAAGCCATCGTTGAAACAAATGTGATAAGTTCTGCAGAAACTATCATCTATATATTCTCACCTGTCCTATTCCTAATTAGGCTCTCACAAAACTATAATTTAACAGTTGTGGCTGTCGAATCTGCAAAGATTACATGATTGCTTCGAAAATGATAATTCTCTCATTTTGCTTAGCTCGTACTCGCCGATCGGTCAAGAAATCTTATGTGTATATCATCATTTCAGCTAGTCTCTTGGTTATGTACCAATGTAATGCATATTTCTTTATCAATGATAAAAAATCGGATTTGCTACACATTACAGTCATAGAAACAAAGTTACGTTCATCAACACCGATCAACTATCAAGATCGTTCACAATTATTGAGTGACAGATGTAATTATTCAAACTCAGCAGCATACAACATACATATGTATAATTCTTCTCATTTGATGCACCGCTATCCCGTACTCAACATGGTTATATTTCTACTACAATTTCATTCTATGATGTATTGTGCTATTCCAAAAGTTGCGACAAAAACACTTATTACGACGATGTTTTATATCCATTTTCGGGATATCAGCGATCACGTCAAAACCAATTGGACCAATATTGATATGAACATAACTCGAACAGAACAATTATTCAATATTTCTGCATTTGTCGAGGAAATTCGAAAGGTATAATGTACAAATATTAATACTATTGTAAATAGTCTATTGACATTTCTCTCTTCAGAATGGTATTGCAATCTCGAAGACAAAAGAACCGACGACTCTTGCATCATTTCTTCACATGTTTCTAAATCTCCTTCAATATGATAGCATAGATAAGGTATCTACTTCTCAACCTCTCAATCCCTGGAGACTCAGCGTAAAAGATATGTTTCCCTATCTTCATCTAAGAGCTCTGCCAAATCTATCTCATATACTCTCTTCATCTTACAATCGATTTCTGTTCGTTCGTCATCCATTCGAACGTTTGGCGTCCGCTTATACAGAGAGAATCGCAACGCTTGAAAAAGATAGAGTTTGGCCAGAGCCTTACTATGATGACATTCGTCAGAATATATGTTACCGGTATTCATGGCCCAATGTGTTTCATCTTCATAAATTATTGCTGAAACAGAATAGGTGTGAAGGAGTTATTCCTTCATTCGAACATTTTCTCCAATATATTCTTCTCGACATTGAAAAGCCTGGTGAAATAGGTCGGATGGATTTTCATTGGCAGCCGTACTCGATCATTTGTCAAGTCTGTAAATTCAAATACAACTTTATTGGTAAATATGAAACATTTCATGAAGACTTCACCTATTTGTTCAAACGTCTCAATTTATCTGATTGGTATGTTCAAAAGCAACGTGGTGATGCATTAGATCGCACTGGATGGAAATATCAACATATGTATAGATCTTTGCCAGATGAGTTGATCTGTAAACTTAGGCATCTCTACGATAGGGATTTTTATTTATTCAACTATCCGTTCGAAGATTACATTAAGCGGCCCACATTGGTTTGCACATCGACGTTCAAACTAAAAAAACAGGATTGTTGTTAATACGTATAATTCTATCACTCTCAACTACACGTATGTAAG